TACATTTATCCTATAAGTGTTCCTAGAAGCACCTCTACATTTATCCTATAAGTGTCCTAGAAGCACCTCTACATTTATTCTATCAGTGTCCTAGAAGCACCTCTACATTTATCATATCAGTGTCCTAGAAGCACCTCTACATTTATCCTATCAGTGTCCTAGAAGCACCTCTACATTTATCCTATAAGTGTCCTAGAAGCACCTCTACATTTATCCTATCAGTGTCCTAGAAGCACCTCTACATTTATCCTATCAGTGTCCTAGAAGCACCTCTACATTTATCCTATAAGTGTCCTAGAAGCACCTCTACATTTATCCTATCAGTGTCCTAGAAGCACCTCTACATTTATCCTATATAAGTGTCTAGAAGCACCTCTACATTTATCCTATAAGTGTCCTAGAAGCACCTCTACATTTATCCTATAAGTGTCCTAGAAGCACCTCTACATTTATCCTATCAGTGTCCTAGAAGCACCTCTACATTTATCCTATCAGTGTCCTAGAAGCACCTCTACATTTATCCTATAAGTGTCCTAGAAGCACCTCTACATTTATCCTATAAGTGTCCTAGAAGCACCTCTACATTTATCCTATCAGTGTCCTAGAAGCACCTCTACATTTATCCTATCAGTGTCCTAGAAGCACCTCTACATTTATCCTATCAGTGTCCTAGAAGCACCTCTACATTTATCCTATAAGTGTCCTAGAAGCACCTCTACATTTATCCTATCAGTGTCCTAGAAGCACCTCTACATTTATCCTATCAGTGTCCTAGAAGCACCTCTACATTTATCCTATAAGTGTCCTATAAGCACCTCTACATTTATCCTATCAGTGTCCTAGAAGCACCTCTACATTTATCCTATAAGTGTCCTAGAAGCACCTCTACATTTATCCTATAAGTGTCCTAGAAGCACCTCTACATTTATCCTATCAGTGTCCTATAAGCACCTCTACATTTATCCTATAAGTGTCCTATAAGCACCTCTACATTTATCCTATCAGTGTCCTATAAGCACCTCTACATTTATCCTATAAGTGTCCTAGAAGCACCTCTACATTTATCTCTATAAGTGTCCTAGAAGCACTCTACATTTATCCTAAGTGTCCTAGAAGCACCTCTACATTTATCCTATCAGTGTCCTATAAGCACCTCTACATTTATCCTATAAGTGTCCTAGAAGCACCTCTACATTTATCCTATCAGTGTCCTAGAAGCACCTCTACATTTATCCTATAAGTGTCCTATAAGCACCTCTACATTTATCCTATAAGTGTGTCCTAGAAGCACCTCTACATTTATCCTATCAGTGTCCTAGAAGCACCTCTACATTTATCCTATCAGTGTCCTATAAGCACCTCTACATTTATCCTATCAGTGTCCTAGAAGCACCTCTACATTTATCCTATCAGTGTTCTATAGAAGCACCTCTACATTTATCCTATCAGTGTCCTATAAGCACCTCTACATTTATCCTATCAGTGTCCTAGAAGCACCTCTACATTTATCCTATCAGTGTCCTATAAGCACCTCTACATTTATCCTATCAGTGTCCTAGAAGCACCTCTACATTTATCCTATCAGTGTCCTATAAGCACCTCTACATTTATCCTATCAGTGTCCTATAAGCACCTCTACATTTATCCTATAAGTGTCCTATAAGCACCTCTACATTTATCCTATCAGTGTCCTATAAGCACCTCTACATTTATCCTATCAGTGTCCTAGAAGCACCTCTACATTTATCCTATCAGTGTCCTATAAGCACCTCTACATTTATCCTATCAGTGTCCTATAAGCACCTCTACATTTATCCTATCAGTGTCCTATAAGCACCTCTACATTTATCCTATCAAGTGTCCTATAAGCACCTCTACATTTATCCTATCAGTGTCCTATAAGCACCTCTACATTTATCCTATCAGTGTCCTATAAGCACCTCTACATTTATCCTATCAGTGTCCTAGAAGCACCTCTACATTTATCCTATCAGTGTCCTAGAAGCACCTCTACATTTATCCTATCAGTGTCCTATAAGCACCTCTACATTTATCCTATCAGTGTCCTAGAAGCACCTCTACATTTATCCTATCAGTGTCCTATAAGCACCCTCTACATTTATCCTATCCTATAAGTGTCCTATAAGCACCTCTACATTTATCCTATCAGTGTCCTATAAGCACCTCTACATTTATCCTATAAGTGTCCTAGAAGCACCTCTACATTTATCCTATCAGTGTCCTATAAGCACCTCTACATTTATCCTATCAGTGTCCTAGAAGCACCTCTACATTTATCCTATCAGTGTCCTATAAGCACCTCTACATTTATCCTATCAGTGTCCTAGAAGCACCTCTACATTTATCCTATCAGTGTCCAGAAGCACCTCTACATTTATCCTATCAGTGTCCTATAAGCACCTCTACATTTATCCTATAAGTGTCCTAGAAGCACCTCTACATTTATCCTATAAGTGTCCTATAAGCACCTCTACATTTATCCTATAAGTGTCCTAGAAGCACCTCTACATTTATCCTATATAAGTGTTCTAGAAGCACCTCTACATTTATCCTATAAGTGTCCTATAAGCACCTCTACATTTATCCTATAAGTGTCCTATAAGCACCTCTACATTTATCCTATAAGTGTTCCTATAAGCACCTCTACATTTATCCTATAAGTGTCCTAGAAGCACCTCTACATTTATCCTATAAGTGTCCTAGAAGCACCTCTACATTTATCCTATAAGTGTCCTAGAAGCACCTCTACATTTATCCTATAAGTGTCCTATAAGCACCTCTACATTTATCCTATAAGTGTCCTAGAAGCACCTCTACATTTATCCTATCAGTGTCCTAGAAGCACCTCTACATTTATCCTATAAGTGTCCTAGAAGCACCTCTACATTTATCCTATAAGTGTTCCAGAAGCACCTCTACATTTATCCTATCAGTGTCCTAGAAGCACCTCTACATTTATCCTATCAGTGTCCTAGAAGCACCTCTACATTTATCCTATAAGTGTCCTAGAAGCACCTCTACATTTATTCTATCAGTGTCCTAGAAGCACCTCTACATTTATCCTATCAGTGTCCTAGAAGCACCTCTACATTTATCCTATAAGTGTCCTAGAAGCACCTCTACATTTATCATATAAGTGTCCTATAAGCACCTCTACATTTATCCTATCAGTGTCCTAGAAGCACCTCTACATTTATCCTATCAGTGTCCTATAAGCACCTCTACATTTATCCTATAAGTGTCCTAGAAGCACCTCTATATTTATCCTATCAGTGTCCTATAAGCACCTCTACATTTATCCTATCAGTGTCCTATAAGCACCTCTACATTTATCCTATAAGTGTCCTAGAAGCACCTCTATATTTATCCTATCAGTGTCCTATAAGCACCTCTACATTTATCCTATAGTGTTCCAGAAGCACCTCTACATTTATCCTATCAGTGTCCTAGAAGCACCTCTACATTTATCCTATAAGTGTCCTAGAAGCACCTCTACATTTATCCTATAAGTGTCCTAGAAGCACCTCTACATTTATTCTATCAGTGTCCTAGAAGCACCTCTACATTTATCCTATAAGTGTCCTAGAAGCACCTCTACATTTATCCTATCAGTGTCCTATAAGCACCTCTACATTTATCCTATCAGTGTCCTAGAAGCACCTCTACATTTATCCTATAAGTGTCCTAGAAGCACCTCTACATTTATCCTATAAGTGTCCTAGAAGCACCTCTACATTTATCCTATCAGTGTCCTATAAGCACCTCTACATTTATCCTATATCAGTGTTCTAGAAGCACCTCTACATTTATTCTATCAGTGTTCCTATAAGCACCTCTACATTTATCCTATCAGTGTCCTATAAGCACCTCTACATTTATCCTATAAGTGTTCTAGAAGCACCTCTACATTTATCCTATAAGTGTCCTATAAGCACCTCTACATTTATCCTATAAGTGTTCTATAAGCACCTCTACATTTAGCAATGCAATAGATTGAGTCCACATAAAATGATCCTTTTAACCATCACTGCTTGAAAAAACATTTTTTACAGTAGACTTTAAAGATGCAAAATAAGGGCATACAGGCGTTCAGTCTGACATGTCAGTTTTGCAGACACATCCAGACTAAACCACAATGTATGTCCATGGGCAGGTGGATGTAAACAAAGGTAAGTTAGGTCTGCATTCTTTGTCATTTTTTGTGGAGGTAAAACAAATGTAAATAGATGTAAAAATTTTGTCTATGTTCACATTAGGCAAAAAACATATTTTGGGTTTATACATTTGTTGTACAAATGGCCCTGTAAAATATGGAGGCAAGAAAAAAATGTGAACTGAAGATAAATGTGCAAACTTATGTAAACTAGCATAACCTGTATTAGTATTATTATTTTTTTTTTAACAGAAAACGCAACTGAACTGATGACACCCGTGTGAAAGGATGTCATCTGTACTCCCTTCCTCCCTGTAGTCTTATGGGACACATGACACGGGATCATTCACAAGGCGCATTGCTACTTGCACAAGCACAGTGGGCATCCAACTGGGAAAGACGCAAGATGTCATAGCCAGGCGCCCACACTTAAGATGCTGGCGCAGGGGAGCCAGGATGGTTGGTGAAACCGGCTGTGGTGAAAACACCACTCGATTGTGGGATGGGCGAGTGGCTTTTTTTTTTTTTTTTTTTAAATTCAGCAGCTACAGTTTTTGTAGCTGCAGACTTATTTTTTTCAGGTTTGACTGAAGTTTCGCTTTAATTGAAACATATATATGATATAATAACGTTGATTCTCAAAAACTAGAAAAAAAAAAAAAAAAAAAAAAAAAGAATAGCAGCATATTTTAGTCACTGTCAAAAAACAAGTTATCAAGTTTAATTTTAAGAAAAATGTAACAATCCTGACTGGTCGCTATGGACAAAAATGCTACCATTAACAATTTAACCCCATGGTGTTTGTGTATTACCAGCAACTACTCACCTATACATTTTTCTATAGCTCTCTCATCTTCCTCATTAAACTCATCCTCATTCTCTTCTAGCTCTTCTAGTGTCATATCCTCATATGTTTTAACTGAAAAACAAAATTACATACAGGCATAAAACAAGCAACAAATTAAGACGCAAACTGAGCTGAAAGTGTGCTTAACAGTTTACGGCATCATAGCAACTCCTGCATCTGAATTCCTGGGCAGTTAACTGAGACAGATTTGCACAGGTCAGTCACAAAATTACCACTGGAAACTAAACAGATTTTCTACAATCAATATTTAAACTGCCACGCTAGATGTGTGCTCAAATTAAAACAAAGGAATAAATAAGTAAAATATCACCACCCTCTTACAATAATAAACAGTGATGAGTGAATATAATCTTCTCCCCCATCACTAGCTGTCAAATTTCTAAAAAACGTGGCCGTGCAGGGCTCTGCCCACTTGGCTGCATCACTCATTCACAGGCAAACTGGTGGTACTGAAGTCCATCTATCAATTGACTTTAGTACAACCAGCCTGTTGGATGTTTTTTGTATTCAAGCACTGCCAGTGGCTATAGTTGTTGGCAGTTATCATTGTGTTCTGCCAGCAGGGAAGGCAGAACACAATAGCTCCACAAGAGGGAGAATCAAGCGATTTTCTTTCCTTCCACCCGGGTTATTTTTCTGCTGTCTGTGTACCACTAGGGAAGTTTCCCTTCGCAATATTCTCCAGAGGTGCAACAGGAAGTTAGAGCAGATCTCAAAGTTGAGGGAAATTCATCTTACAAAGTTGTCACTGAAACAAGTGTCCCCATTAGATGATTTTCCTTTATCTCTTTTTCTGGGGACAACTTTAAAACTTTGGATTTCCCCACTTTCCCAGTGATAATAGTCACCAAGAGAAACAGAAGAGTTAATCTCCCCAAAGAGAACATAGACAACAATGAAAAAAAAAAAAATTGACTCTAGCCAAAATTAAAAGAAGGTTTTGCTTAGTGGAACACTTAAAGGTGAAACTGGAGTTAACCTCATCTAAAATGCTAGAATAGACTGCAACCAGGGGAAAGCCTGGCAACTAGTATTTTCAGGAGAGCAGCATGAAAAAAACTCCATTGCTGCCTCCTTTACAGTAAAATTAGTATATATTTCAAACTGTGTGAAGCTGAAATGTCTGAATGCCCCGCTTCCCCCACCAGGACAAACACAAATGAAAACTTACTAACAGATATTGCAGCAGTTCTGTCAGTCTCCAAAGTGCAGCTGCGTGGTTTGTTACTATGCTAATAGGAAAGAATAGCCGGGAAATGTAGCCCTTGTAAAACCTGTTCACATAAAAATGTCCTTTTCTGAGTAAAGTGAAAGTGTTCTCACCAATTGACTGCTGTGTCAAAATTCCTTCTTCTTCCTCCACTTCATCCTCCTTTGGTACCTCTTTGGGAGGTAGGATACCTTTTTTACGCAGGATGTCATTCCACTCTGTGTCTGCATTTGGATCCTGAAATCAGAGACACTCATATGCATAAAGAAGTTAGGGCTTGCTCGCATTAGCATTGCCCTCTTGAAGAGTGATCTGCAGAGAATCGCTTTTCAGAGGGCATTGGACAGGCAGCCTCCTCACCCATTTTAACTTAAAATCCCCCGCTACCGTGCGACAATCACATGCAATGTATACGGTTGTGGTGCAGCCCCATTCACTTGAATTGCTCACATTACGGATTGCTGAACATGACAGTGATATAATTCTTGCTGCGGCCACAAAGCATTTCAGCATGTGCAAACCCCCAGTCAGGTTGCCTTTGCTTTTACTGCCCCCCCAACTGCAAATGTAAACAAAACCTTAGGCCCCTTTTATATGAAGGGTCTGGTCAGATCCGCCTGTCAGTTTTTCAGGTGGACCTGATCGGATGGTCCATTCACCCCTGTGGGTGAGCAGGACTTGTGTTCACTTAGGCTAGGTTCACATCTATGCAGATTGCAGTTGATACATTTATTGTTTTTTCACACTCATTTTGTATGCGTTTTTTATGCATTTTGTGATTTTACCTGTTTGTCAAGGAGCAGGAAGTCACCAGTGTCCTTAACAAGCAGTAAACAACATGGTTGTTAATTAGCAGGTAGCCGCCACATCCTTGACAATCGATAAGTCAGTGGGGTTCCCTGCTGACAGCTGAATATAGACAAACCTATAGACAAATATAGACAAAAAAAAGACACGGAAAAAAAACAGTGCGGGATCCCCCACCCAATCCATCTCAGGCCCTTCGGGTCTGGTGTGAATTTTAAGGGGAACCCCACACCAAAATTTAAAAAAAAACAGTGTAGCCCCCCCCGATCAGCAGGGGATGAGTGGACAGATTACCTTCTGATCAAAACAGAGTCTGACCTGTGTGGAAAGGGGCCTAAGTTTTGCCAACACCAACACTGTCAAGAAGGCTTCCATTTATATGATATGAGCCTTCAAAATAGGTACAGCGAGAAGCTTGTTAAAAATAAAAAGTCACCAAGTTGAAGATTTTCAGCAAACCCTCCAAACACAGGCCTTTCTAGAAGGTACATAATACTCCTGAACTGCTGGCAATCTTCCTCATTATTCCCTGACATTACGACAAACCCTTTATACGAGATTATTGATTTCATTAGAAAGAGAGAGAAGTGTAGGAGTATTGTGTAGTCAGGGAGTAGATCACGCTGGAGGGTCTAACATCCAGTGGTTGTAGTTTTCCTGTGACTCACCTGCATCTTGTCTAGTTCTGCACACAATCACCGCGCTGCTGCTCCTCTCTGTGAAAATACAATATTCATACAGATCAATGATCTTTCTTTCTGGGGCTAGATTGGTTAGTATATTTTATATACAGTACCTTCAATTCACCAGCAGCTCCAGCACACAGCTTGAGTAAGGGGGAAGTAATTTCTTGTCACACCAGACACTACTTCCTCCCCATCACCATGTCCTTATTAGGAAACACATGGCAGAAGGCAGTATACAGAGTGTGTGATGGGAGCAGCTGGGCTGTGGCCATATGTTGTATGTTACAACAAAGGCATCCCCCACATCCCTTTAGACATGCATACCCTTTGCTTCCCTCTGCTGGTCACTTGAGTTCTGGCCATCAAAGGAGGCATCCCGAATTACCTTTAGATGTGGGCTCTTCTTGGCCCCCTTCTCCAAAGACTAACATTCCAGTTAACCTACCAGCATGTCTTTGGAGTGTGGGAGGAAGACAAAGTACCCGGAGGAAACCCACACAGGCACAGGGAGAACATGCAAACTCCAGGCAGGTGGTGTCATGGTTGAGATTTGAACCAACATTCCTAGTACTGCCAGGCGGAAGTGCTAACCATTTACCCACTGTGCTGCCCAACCAGAGAAGGAATAACAACATTTTAGGAAGAAAAGGGGAAGGGTCTCATTTTCTGCTGCAAAACGCTCTGCAGTTATCTATAGCTAAACGTAACACGCATTTATCTGCATTTAGTCTACCCTGAACACAGCACTTTCCTTCTTTTGCTAAACGCAGCTAAACTGTCTACAAGTAAACATTGCTAATCGTGCTGTATGAATAACATGATTATTTTGCATTGCGTGAGTCCAGCTGTTTTACAGAAGACTTCTAATCGCAGTTAAACTCTGAAATGTTGACGTCTGTGTGAATGTAGCCTAAGGGCCCTTTCACACGTTGCCCCTCCTTGTGCGTTGCATTATCTGCATTAATTCATTTGGAATGGGCTGCTAATGCACCAGAAAGGGCAAAAAAAATTTACACGTACTGTAATATTTTTTCCTGACACAGAAGACCACATTTCACAGAGGCCAGGTTCACTGCTGTGCCATTGAAGCTGTAGTACAGAGTTCAGGTCCTATCCATCCCATTGTGCTTCAATAATGAGTGTAACACCCTGGTCACACCAATCTGACTTTGAAATCCTGCGACTTCCATTGAAGTCGCATGATTTCAAAGTCAGATGGTATTCCAACTTAAGGTGTGACTTGTAAGACACAGATGTCTATGCAAGTCGCACCTAAATTAGTGCATGCACTACTTTAGAAATCGGTGCAGCTCCGACCAAGTCGGAATCGCACTGATATGACCGCTGTAATTGCAGACAATAGGGTCCAACTTGCCATGTGATTTGCGAGTCGCATGGCATGGCAAGTTGCACCTGGTGTGACCAGGGTCTAATGCCACAAGCTCACAAGCATTGCATTAAGGCATTCTATTCATTTGAATGAGATGGCTAACACGCACAGGAAAAAAAATACATGTAGCATTCTTGCCAGCAAATGTTATTGCATTGCCTGCGTGCAGCACCCCAACTCACATCCATTGGCCTGATGTGTTAAGGTGCCATTTAGAATGAATGCCACTGCACTGCACCGACACGTGAAATACATGTTAGACTAGATTCACACCTATGCAGTTTCCGCTTGATCCATTTCTGCAGTGCTATTTGCGGTGCATATTTGCACATACGTTTTTGACTTTTTTTGATGCGTTTTTTTTTTCCACCATAGTAAAAAACCTTGTTATAATATAATTTCAATGTGTTCAGGAATTTCCAAGATGGCGGCTCGTAAACTTCTGGTTTAGTGGCTTGACGTCATTGGCCCACCCTATGCGTAACGTAACGTGACTTCCCCTGATTGGACACGGAGATGTGAACGTGTCCCATAGGAAATCATGTTAAATGGACTGCTGTGCAATTCTGCAAAACGCAAAGGAAAACGCTTAGGTGTGAACTTCGACTTACTGTGTCTTGATGTTACTGCAGTATAGTGTTGTGAATGGGCACTAACTGTTCATTCCAGAACAGCACCTGTCCCTGCGTAACTGCAAACTTCCATCAAACAGATTTTATTCCTAAAATGGCAGCACATGTCCCTATTTAACTGCAAGCTTTCAGCAAACAAAAAGTTTAACAGAACCCCAGGGTCCTGCATTCTAGAGCTGAGGACAGGAATACTTCCTGACTCCTGCCTCTCCTTCCTGAGACCTCATTTACACTTGCGGTTAGGGGGTGGTAAAAAGAGGTGGTTGCGACACACTTTTACAGCCCTACAACTGTTCCCCCTTAAGCTGCAAATGCAGTGGATGTAGTTCCCATTGAAAGTGAATAGGGCTGTACCACAACTGCGTACAATGCACATGGCTGTTTTGGCATTTTGGGTTTAAAACAGGCAGTGAGGAGGTGACTAAACCCCATCTCACTGCCTGTCAAATGCCTTCTGAAAAGCGATCTATCCCTAGTGTAAACGAGCCCTGATTGTGTCTGCAAAGCTCTGCTAGAATACGGGCAGAGTGAGCGAGCAATGCAAGACTCATTGATCGATAACTTTTCACTGAGCACCAATTACGGTTGCCACCTCATCCCTTTAAACCCGAACACATAATTACACAGGTTTTGAGGCTAATTTATTGCATATAAGACACTAAGGCTAGGTTCATACCTATGCAGTTTGCATTTGATCCGTTTCTGCAGTGTTTTTTTGCAGTGCGTTTTTGCACATGCAATTTTGCCACTTTTTGATGCGTTTTGCATTTTTTTTCTTGTTGCTAGGCAGATTAAAATGCAAAACGCATCAAGAACGCACTACATGCTTTTCTGCAGCGTCTCCATTGAAGTCTATAGAACCAAAAATGCAACATTTTGCATTTAAAAAAGTCCCTGACCCTTTCAAAAAACACACTGTTTGAAAACACGGAGATGTGAACGTGTCCCATAGGAAATGGACTGTAGTGCGTTTCTGCAAAATGCTGTGGAAAATGCATAAGTGTGAACCTAGGCTAAGTGAGTTTAATTGCCACCATAATCAGCCACAGAACCTATGTAATTATTCCATAATTACCTGTGTAATTGATACATACTCCTGACCACGTCACCCTGTACACTGTATAGTCTTGTCCAGTACACTTTGTGAACATCCCCACATATTTACTTTCTTGCATTCGCCTTGTTGCACATAGGGGTCAATTCACTAAGAGTTAAATAACGACTGAAACAATGCGCTAAAATAACGCATGCAGTACATTTTTGGCAAATGTGCAATTCACTAAGAATTTTGTGGCAAATAACTCTTGCAGTAAAATATTGTTATTGCGGTAATTTATTGCACGGTAGCTGTTTGCGCTAGTTAAGCCGTCCTTAACAACGGATGACTCCTCAGCTGACAGCTGAATGTAAACAAAACATGCCAGCACTAACAATTGCGCGGTCATGCAACACTGCACTGAAATTTAATTTATGTCTTTTTTCCCCACAAATGGTGCTTTCTTTTGGGAGGTATTTGATAGCCTGTGCGTTTTTTATTTTTTTGCGCTATAAACAAAAAAAGACCGACAATTTTGAGAAAAAAAAATAATTTTGACTTTTTGCTATTAAACATGTCCAGTAAAAAAAAAATTTAAAAATCAAATTTCGTCATAAATTTATGCCAAAATGTATTCTGCCAAATGTCTTTGCTAAAAAAAAAAAAAAAAAAAAAAAAAATTGCAATACAAGTATATTAATTTGTTTATGTGAAAGTTTTTGAGTCTACAAATGGCGGTATATATACTGGAATTTTAAAAAAAAATTTATACTAGTAATAGCGGCGATCAGCAACTAATAGCAGGACTACGGCAGGCATTCTGACACTGGGGGGGAACTGACTGTCACTGACATCCCCAGTGACACTAAGGATAGGTTCACACCTATGCAGTCTGCGTTTGATCAGTTTCTGCAGTGCGTTTTGCACATGCGTTTGACACGGTTTTCCCACTTTTTACTTTTCTTGTTGCTAGGCAGATTTAAAATACAAAACGCATCAAAAACGTGGCAAAAACACAGTAAAAATGTACTACATGCTTTTCGACAGTGTTTCCATTGCAGTCTATAGAACAAAAAACACAACCTTTTACATTTAAAAAAGTCCTTGACCCTTTAAAAAAAGATGCAACTCGTGAAAACGCAAAGATGTGAATGTGTCCCATAAGAAATCATGTTAAATGGACTCTAGTGCGTTTGTGCAAAGTGCAAAACGCTGCAGAAAATGCTTAGGTGTGAACCTAGGGTAATACAGTGATCAGTGCTAATAAAAAGCACTGACACTGTACTAATGGCACTGGGCACACGCTGCATCTGAAAAAATACTGCATGTGATACTGCCAGCAAAACCCTGGTGATAAATATCGCATGTTTTTTTACTTGCTTTTGTGTTGGTGAATTGGACATAACAGCTTACCGCTTGGTTCTTTTGCGGTATTTACCGGCACATTTTTAATTTTGCCCTAAATACCACAGAATCTTTTTATTTTTGTGAATTTTGTTACCGCATGCGATCATTTATGCAAATTAGTCACATGAGTGGTATCGCATGAGATAACCTTTACTAAATTGACAACATTGTCACTATCCTGTGAACAGGCACTGCAGTGTCACATATTTCACAGAGCCTGCCTTCTGAACTACACTGCAGTAGGTGCTGACAGGAAATATCAGTTTAGGACTCTGCATTTCTGGCAGGGAGCAACAGGTTTCTGTACTTGCTGAAAATGTACTAAGCCTGAAAAAAAAAACAAACAAATGCAGCCATTGCATCTAAAGAACTGTACACTTCACCGTTCCCTCCTATCCCCTGCAGCTGCCACTCATTGACACAGGGGACACAAAAACACGTTTACAAATCGCATGCCAATTCGCATCCAGTGTGACCGGGAACTTACACCCCAGTCAAATCAAACCCGATCTCCTTGCATCTGACACAGATATCTATGTAAATTGCAAAATAAGTGCATGCGCTACTTTTGAAATCGGTCCGGCTCAGACCAAGTCAGAATTGCACCGATATGACCGCTCTAATAGCGGACAATAGGGTGAGACTTGGCATACGATTTGCAAGTCGCCTGGCATGCAAATCGCACCCAATGTAACCGGGGCTTAGTCACCAGTCACACTGCTGTGATTTAAAATCGTGTGATTTGATTTCAGGTGCGATTTCTGAAGACTTTGCTACAAGTGAATATTTTCAACGATTCCTTGCAATTTGCAGTGCGATTTCCATTGCTATGTATGTTAAATCGCAACAAAACTGCAGAAAACGTAATGCAAGAACTTTAGAAATCACACTGCAGCAAATTGCACATTTTAAGACACTGACCATTCACTAGATGCGATTTCAGGTGCAATTTAAATTTGCACCTGAAATAACTGTTTCAGGTGCGATTTGCGACTTAAAATCACATCTAATGAATCTTACTTTTTCTGCGGTTTTGTTGCAATTTCACAAACATAGAATACAATGGAAATAACAAAGCAAATTGCAAGAAATTGTTAAGCCTGGGTGCACACTGATGTGGTGTGGCACACTGCACTGCATTCTTGTGCAAGTCATTTTGTATCGCTCAAATCGCACCGCATCCGCACCAAAAAAGTGCAGGAACCTTTTTTAGTCCGCACCAGATTCTGATTCTGCACATCGCTGTGTTTTTTCGAACTGTTTTCGGGGTGTCATTAACTTAAAATACACATCCGCAGTGGTTCATATGAACAGGGTGTGATTATAATGCATCAGTGTGAACCCAGGCTCTCAAGTCGCAATAAAGTCTTCAGAAATCGCACCTTGCGATTTCACATACGTAGAATTTAATGGAAATCTCCCTGCAAATTGCAAGAAATCATGCAATTTCAAGTTGCAAATCTCACCGGTATGACTGGGCATTAATTTACACTGGAATCGCATTCCTACGCATACATGCAAATGTCTGTGGGGTGCAAATTGAGCAACACGCTCTTCCAGCCACTCTGGCACCTGTTACAGCTGGTGTGCGGGCGGGCTGCAGTCAGGAACTATGCACAGCACACAGCTCTGAACAGTTAGGCTCCCACAACATGGCAATGGGACTCCCTGGTTGCAGACACGTTTCCCTGGAGCCTGTGACCTAACTAGAGAGTCCTAGATTATGTACACTACACGAACACACAACCACATTCCCACACTTCCTATATCTCCCCCCACCTCTTGTAGGTGCAATGGTCACATGATACATCACCCACGTGATTCTCTCACCTAGCCGGCTAGGACAGCCTCCAGTCAGCTGGGTGTGGTGATGTCATTGGTGTGAGCTTTCCTCTCCGGTCGCACTGAGGTGATGTCAGAGAAGTAACGGCTTCTATTTCCATGGTGAAATCCAATGTGTGTGTGTAAGACGGGTGAGTGATGCTGGGTGACCGGGGAGCTTTGCTAGCAGCCTGGCCGCCTATTTCTTACTATGCTATTCAGTGTGGAGCCTCCTATGTGTCATTCATAGAGCAGACGGGCCTGAGAGGACTGACAGGGGAGCGAACATGGTTCACATTCCTTTACACAGCCAGGGTATCTCCTCATTAAATCTATCTCCCTGTGTTGGGCCATCTTCAAGAAGCAGTGCTTGTTTTCATTCATTTAGGGTCCTTTCACACGGGCGGTCCTTCTTTTCATCAGTTCAGTCACGTTTTATCAAAGAAAAAATGGATCAGTTTACATCCTTTTTTTCATCAGTTTACATCCTTTTTTTTTTTCATCAGTTTACATCTGTTTTTCGTCTGTTCCAGGTTTTTTTGTAAGGAAGAAAAATAGGCTTTTCTTCCATTCAAAAAAATGGATGTTAACGGATGCGGACATTAATGGATGTAAACAGATGACCATCTGTTTACATCCTCTAGTCCACAGAAATACATGGGTGTCCGTTTTTCATCTGTAAATGGACATGAAAAATTGATATACGGAACGCCCATGTGAAAGAGGTCTTAAGAGACTTCTGTCATCAACTTAAAGGGTTTCATGGATAAAAAAAATGGCAAATAAAAAAAATGTAATTGCCACACAAGTCATATTGTACTATAAGGCCCTTTTCATACGGATGGGCCGATGGGGTCTGCCTGTCCATTTTTCAGGTGGACCCGATCGGACCATCCATTGTTCCGGTTTCCGTTTACACGCGCCTGCATCCAATTCGCTAAAAACAGACAGATGGGGGGATCTGTTCCCCATCGATCTAGTGGGTCAGATCATATGACAGTTGGATCTAAGCAAACCCCCTGTCCACCCCATAGAGAAAAGTGGGCTTGTGTCCATGTCTGCACTGCACAAGCGGAATGGACATGGACCTGTCATCTTTCTGGCCCATGGACAGATCTCCCACTAAGCAGGCAGATCCGCTTGGAGGAGTCCGTCCATGTGAAATGAACCTAATGTTGTTAACCACTTCACGCTCAAATTATTTCAATATGAAAGCTGGGCAGGAGCACCCTGGTTTCAGGAGGACGTCATATGACACAGCCATGTTGTGGCTCGATCTGTCATCCAATGTGTCCACCGGACAGAGCGGACGACAGATCAGTATATCCAACTGGCGCCTGTGTCATGTGACTGCTTTGACCAATCACAGCAATCACATGACAGTTGTACACAATGAATGATTTCTGATCCCTGGTCACAGGAATTACATGGTACAGACAGGGCCAATCACAGTGCATTGTTTTACTTTACTTTTTTTTTTAATGTTTTTACCATGTGATATTTGTGGCCAATCACAGCTATCCCAATAGTACATAATGGCTATGAATGGATGCCATTCATGAAAAATATTCCTTTTAACAGTGATCATCTTTTATAAACAATCATAGTGTTAAAAAAAAAAATCCTGATCACCTCCCCAGAATATTACAGTGTCACTACGATAACACATTGCACTGCTCCTCAGTGTGTAAAATAAATAAATACATAAAATTTACTTTTTTTTTTCCCACATACTGTCACCAGTCAGTATCCCTGATCACCACCGCACAAGTCATGTGATGACACTGTACTGCACTGGTGACAATATGTTAAAAAAAAAATAAAAAAATTACAATTTAAAAAAAACTCTGTCAGGGCTCCCGAGTGTGACCAGAGGTGTGTGACTGACGCAGGGAAATGCAGACTTCAGATATGTGATAAACAATATAATTTATTAACACTAACAATACAAACATAAACGCAGTGCAATACTAAAACATAATACAGTGCAAACAAACCAAACCAACCACCCACAGATAACAGTACATACAAGCAAGCGTCGTCAGGCAGGCCGGGTCAATATCAATAGGGCAGGTAGGTACAGGGGAAGCAAGCGGAGATGGGTCGGGGTCACAGGCCAGGTTCAGCAGGTAGCAAGCAGCGTAGTACAGAGGGTCAGGCAGAGGGATGGTCAGGGTCACAAGCCAGGGATCAGAACAGGTAGCAAGCAGCGTGGTACAGAGGGTCAGGCAGAGGGATGGTCAGGAGCGAGCCGGGATCAGAGCAGGAGACGTCAGCAGCGGTTCAGATCAGGCAGGGTCAGCAAAGGAACAGAAACAGGATGCAGGACAGATACAGGGCCCAGGACAAACACAACACCAAGGCAGAGTCTGCAGGTCTGGCCATCCCTTAAATACACCAGTATAATCAGTTCCAGGTGTTAGCTGGCTGAAAGGTTGAGTCTCTGATTGCTGGGAGCACCCGCTGGCCAGCCCTGGTACTGCAGATCAAAAGGCAGGTGAGTCCCACCATTGCTGGCCTGTCCATTCCTGACAAACTCACCATTTCCCTTATTAAATACCTTAGGGTGTCTGCTTTCCAAAAAGGTGTCGTTTGAGGGGTATTTGTACTGTCTTGGCATTTTAGAGCTTCAAGAAATTAGATTGGCTGTCAGCACTTCAGAGTTGATTGATTTTCAGATATACACTATATTGCCAAAAGTATTGGGCCAGCCCTCTAAATCATTGGATTCAGGTGTTCCAATGACTTCCATGGTCACAGGTATATAAGATCAAGCACCTAGACATGCACACTGCTTCTACACACATTTGTGAAAGAATGGGTTGCTCTCAGGAGCTCAGTGAATTCAAGAGTGGTATCGTGATAGGTTGTCACCTGTGCAATAAGTCCATCCATGACATTTCCTTGTTACTAAATATTCCACAGTCAACTGATTAGTGGTATTATAACAAAGTGGAAGCAACTGGGAACAACAGTAACTCAGCCATGAAGTGGTCGGCCACGTAAAATGACAGAACGGGGTCAATGCATGCTGAAGCATATAGTGCAAAGAAGTCGCCGTCTGCAGAGTCAATAGCTAAAGACCTCCAAACTTCATGTGGCCTTCAGACTAGCACAACAACAGTGTGTAGAGAGCTTCATGGAATGGGTTTCCATGGCCGAGCAGCTGCATCCAAGCCTTACATCACCAAGTGCAATGCAAAGCGTCGGATGCAGTGGTGTAAAGCACACCGCCACTGGACTCTAGAGCAGTGGAGACGTGTTCTCTGGAGTGATGAATCACATTTCTCTGTCTGGCAATCTAATGGACGTGTCTGGGTTTGGCAGTTGCCAGGAGAACGGTACTTGCCTGACTGCATTGTGCCAAATGTAAAGTTTGGTGGAGGGGGGATTATGGTGTGGGGTTGCTTTTCAGGGGTTTGGCTTGCCCTCTTAGTTCCAGTGAAGGGAACTCTTAAGGTGTCAGCATACCAAGACATTTTGGAGAATTTCATGCTCCCAACTTTGTGGGAACAGTTTGGGGATGGCCCCTTCCTGTTCCAACATGACTGCACACCAGTGCACAAAGCAAGGTCCATAAAGACATGGATGAGCGAGTTTGGGGTGGAGGAACTTGATTGGCCTGCACAGAGTCCTGACCTCAACCTGATAGAACACCTTTGGGATGAATTAGAGCAGAGACTACAAGCCAGGCCTTCTCGTCCAACATCATTGCCTGACCTCACGAATGCACTTTTGGAAGAATGGTCAAACATTCCCATAGACACACTCCTAAACCTTGTGCTCCGTCTTCACAGAAGAGTAGAAGCTGTTATAGCTGCAAAGGGTGGGCCAACTCAATATTGAACTCTACAGACTAAGACTGGGATGCCATTAAAGTTCATGTGCATGTAAAGGCAGGCGTCCCAACACTTTTGGCAATATAGTGTATATACAATAGTTTGTAGATACTATAACTTTCACACAGACTAAATCGTATACACTGATTTGGAGCATTTTTTTTTACCAAAGAAATGTAGCAATATATTTTGACCTTAATTTATGAAGAAAGATTATTTATTTGCAAAATGTTATAAAGGAAACAAAGAAAAATGTGGGTTTTTCTTTCAAAATTTTCAGTATATTTTTTTGTTTATAGAACAAGAATATAAAATACCCAGTGATGATAAAATACCACCAAAAGAGATCTCTGTCTCAAAAAATAATACAAATTTCATTTGGGTACAGTGTTGCATGACTGAATAATTGTCATTTAAAGTGTAACAGCGCTGAAAGCTGAAAATTGGCCTGGGCAGGAAGGGAGTGAAAGTGCCCGTATTGAAGGGGTTAAACTCGAACCCATTCCCAACTGAGCGTTTGAAACACATTTGCCAAAGTGCTTCAACACTCAAAATTAAGATTCCTGTCATTTGTGCCAAATCGCACCTGAGTGCTGCATGATTTGAAGAGTCTTGTTCGCAGCTCAAAAAACTGAAAAAGTACATGAGCTTGGTGCAAAATAGCACATTTTGGCCCCTAAAGACCAACTGGAGTGTCTGATAAAAGGACCAGAAAAATGCCTGAAAATGTGTGTAACATGCTTTTTCCACACAATTTCTGAAAATTGACCAGGAAAGGAAGGGGGTGAAAGTGTTTGGTACTGAAGTGGGTAAAATTACCTTTCCGTGTTCAACCTGCAATGCTGTAATTTTCTGTAAAATGCATTGCAATGTGACTAACTGGAGGTGTTCAATACACAGATGGTGTACAGAACACACCCCAAAAAAATGAATTTCCTGCTTGTGCAATTGGCTTACTTTTTTGTCTGCACCAAGACCCTGTTCACATCTCGCACTCACAATTTTGTGTGTGCAATTTTCATGGGATTCCATGTGTTGCACATAGGGCCGGCAATTCACTTGAGTGGGCTGCCCTTTGCCCATTTGCTGCACAAAAGAAGCTCTCAGGAAACAAATCTTGTCCCTGACCCAAACACATTTTTACAAGCACCCCAATTGTGGCAAAATTGCACCGCGTTTGGAGTGCCATTTAGAATGAATGCCACCTAAACACATCGTTCCTTTGTCATGATTAGGAATCACAGGCAGAATTGTGCCAATTCTGCACATGATTCCTAATCATCACCCAAGCATAAATGAGGCCTCAGATACAGCTACAACAAAAGATGTCATTTTTGGTGAGATACTTTCAAAGGGAAATCAGATCCTGTCACTTTCCTCATTTAAAACAAAGTTTGTTAAAAGCCGTGCAATGTACATTGATCACCCAAAGGGGAATGTTTTTTTTCTCAACATAAGTACAGGCAAGCAGATATACTGACAGGAAGAATTAATTGAGAACTATAAGCTGACAGCCACAAGGGATGTCGGTACTTGTAGTTCATTCACAGAACTGGAGGGAGCACCACATGGCCGAGCTGTGTGTAAAAAGTGACAGCTTGTTCAGGGAACTTCTCCCCGTACTGCTGTCACAGGAAAGAGGTGGGGGGATTGGGCATCAGCTGCAACACTGGGAACATGTTACATGTTCCAACCTAAAAACGGGTGAAACGTAACCTGTTCCCAAAGGTGAACGTATCCTTTAAATTGACACTAAAGCTTTTGTTTTTTTTTGTGTGTTTTTTTTTTAAATAACAAACCTGTCTATACTTACCTACTCTGTGCAGTACAGACTAAGTACATAACTTACCTGCACTGTGCAGTGATTTTGCACAGAGCAGGCCCAAACCTCTTCTTTTCGGGTCCCCGCCGGTGCTCCTGGCTCCTTCCCCCTCAACTAGTGCCCCAGGGAAAGCTGTTTGCCCTGGTGGCACCACTGCATGCTCATCCCCGAGCCGCTGCTCTATGCATCCATAATCCGCGGATCTATGTGCCAATGGACTCCTGCTGCTATCTCAGCCAATGAGGAAGAATCCCCAGACAACAGAGGCTGTTGAGAAACGTTGCTGGATTGGAGGGGGCTCAGATAAGGATTGGGGGGTAGGGGGCGCTGCATACGGAAGGTTTTTTTACCTTCATGTATAGAATACGTGAAGGTAAAAGTCCTTGAGACTTTAGAACCACTTCAAGTCATACACAAATAAAGTGATTGTTGTTCTTCAATCAGCTGGCATTTCCAAGACTTTCTATTATTATTATTATACAGGATTTATATAGCGCCAACAGTTTGCTCAGCGCTTTACAAAATGAAGGTAGACATAATAGTTACAATACAATTCCAGTACAAGAGGAAACAGAGGGCCCTGCTCGTTAGAGCTTACAATCTATTCACATAAAACTTCCCTCACCTACCTCCACAATCTTCACACAACTGAGGGAACCCACTCCAAGGACCCTCCAAAAGCAGAGCCGCCACAAACCTATCCAGCAATAACAAGCTCTAGTGTTACCTATTTAACCACTTGCCCTCCAGAGGATTTACACCCCCTTCCTGACCAGGCCATTGTTTGTGATACGGCGCTACATTACTTTAACCACTTGCCTACCGGGCACTTATACCCCCTTCTTTACCAGGCCAGCTTTCAGCGCTGTTGCACTTTGACAATTGCGCGGTCATGCAAGATTGTACCCATATGAAATTTTTATTATTTTTTTCTCACGAATAGAGCTTTCTTTTGGTGGTATTTAATTGCCGCAGGGCACTTTTTGCGCTATAAACAAAAAAAGTGCAAAAAATGTGAAAAAAAAAAAGTTTCTTTGTTTCTATTATAACATTTTTCAAACAGGTAATTTTTCTCCTTCACTGATGTGCGTTGATGAGGCAGCACTGATGGGCACTAATAGGCGGCACTGATAGGCAGCATTGATGAGGCGGCACGGATAGGCGGCACTGATAGGTGGCACTGACTGGCGCAACTGCTGGGCACTGACTGGCGCAACTGCTGGGCACTGACTGGCGCAACTGCTGGGCACTGACTGGCACAACTGCTGGGCACTGACTGGTGGCACTGACTGGCAGCACTGCACTGGTGGATGGCACTGGTGGGCACAGGTGGGTGGCACTTCTGAGCACAGGTGGCGGGCATTCTGACACTGGGTGGATACTAACTGCCACTGACATCTCCAGTGACACTAATACAGTGATCAGTGCTAATAAAAAGCACTGACACTGTACTAATGACACTGGGCAGGAAGAGGCTAACTAACGATCAATGGGTTAACTGTGTGCTATATGTGTTTTACTATGTGTGCTGTGTTGTGTTTTACTAGGGAGGTATGCTGTTTTGTATCTCTCTGCTGTGCAGAGATACAAAACAGGATGTCCATGCTAACAGGGGAGATACCGTGTTGTTTACACACAGGTCTGTCGGCTTTACACGGCGATCGCCGAGTGTCAGCCGGGAATTGCCGCCTGGGACCTGGTGATTGACATCCCGAGCTGCCAATAGCTGTGTCGGTAGGGCACCCTCTACCCAGAAATAGTAGCACCCTGTGGCCAAACTAAATTTATTCTCCAAGGTATCCCACAATCATTGGTGATCAATGGCATTTTAACACCCCCTTTCCCTTTAAAGAAAATCTCATCATAATTGGTGGTCAGTGACACTTAGACTCTTTTAACCCCTCACCTTCACCTTTGATCTGGCGATCCTCCTAGCTGCTGTGTTTGCAAAAATTCAGCCCACTTGCAACAGAGGAAGGGAAGCTTGTGAAGGCTGAGTGTGGTTCACAGTGATAACAAGGTACAGAGCCACTCCAATTTGCTCTGTACATCGTGACTGGGATCTGAGCTGTTTAGTGACAGCTCAGATCACAGCCATTTCACACCTTTTTTGTAAAGTACAAAGGTAGTTAAAGAGCAACGGAATCTACAACAAACTGTGAAGGGAGTCAAGGGACTACTATTACTAACTATGACAAATATCTGTATAAAACTTCTAATGTTGCAACTATGCTGTGCAGGCAATTGGTAAAGTTTTGTTTTGTCCTTGCAGAACAAAGACCCCTCTTTATCTTTTACAGAAGAAATTGCAGTCAAGCTTAGTGGTAAGCTACATGTTTCTAAATTTTATTCTTTGCATTAGATGAATTCATGTGGTGTCTAATTGCATGCGAAGATTGAGAGCTGATTCACACACACATACTGGTCCATAAATATTGGGACATCGACACAATTCTAACATTTTTGGCTCTATACACCACCACAATGGGTTTGAAATGAAACGAACAAGATGTGCTTTAACTGCAGACTGTCAGCTTTAATTTGAGGGAATTTACATCCAAATCAGGTGAACGGTGTAGGAATTACAACAGTTTGCATATGTGCCTCCCACTTCTTAAAGGTCCAAAAGTAATGGGACAGAATATTAACCATAAATCAAACTTTCACTTTTTAATACTTGGTTGCAAATCCTTTGCAGTCAATTACAGCCTGAAGTCTGGAACGCATAGACATCACCAGACGCTGGGTTTCATCCCTGGTGATGCTCTGCCAGGCCTCTACTGCAACTGTCTTTTGTTCCTGCTTGTTCTTGGGGCATTTTCCCTTCAGTTTTGTCTTCAGCAAGTGAAATGCATGCTCAATCGGATTCAGGTCAGGTGATTGACTTGGCCATTGCAGAACATTCCACTTCTTTCCCTTAAAAAACTCTTTGGTTGCTTTTGCAGTCTGCTTTGGGTCATTGTCCATCTGCACTGTGAAGCGGCGTCCAATGAGTTGTGAAGCATTTGGCTGAATATGAGCAGATAATATTGCCCGAAACACTTCAGAATTCATCCTGCTGCTTTTGTCAGCAGTCACATCATCAATAAATACAAGAGAAGCAGTTCCATTGGCAGCCATACATGCCCACGCCATGACACTACCACCACCATGCTTCACTGATGAGGTGGTATGCTTAGGATCATGAGCAGTTCCTTTCCTTCTCCATGCTCTTCTCTTCCCATCACTCTGGTACAAGTTGATCTTGGTCTCATCTGTCCATAGGATGTTGTTCCAGAACTGTGAAGGCTTTTTTAGATGTCGTTTGGCAAACTCTAATCTGGCCTTCCTGTTTTTGAGGCTCACCAATGGTTTCCATCTTGTGGTGAACCCTCTGTATTCACTCTGGTGAAGTCTTCTCTTGATTGTTGACTTTGACACACGTACACCTACCTCCTGGAGAGTGTTCTTGATCTGGCCAACTGTTGTGAAGGGTGTTTTCTTCACCAGGGAAAGAATTCTTCGCTCATCCACCACAGTTGTTTTCCGTGGTCTTCCGGGTCTTTTGGTGTTGCTGAGCTCACCGGTGCGTTCCTTCTTTTTAAGAATGTTCCAAACAGTGGTTTTGGCCACGCCTAATGTTTTTGCTATCTCTCTGATGGGTTTGTTTTATTTTTTCAGCCTAATGATGGCTTGCTTCACTGATAGTGACAGCTCTTTGGATCTCATCTTGAGAGTTGACAGCAACAGATTCCAAATGCAAATAGCACACTTGAAATGAACTCTGGACCTTTTATCTGCTCATTGTAATTGGGATAATGAGGGAATAACACACACCTGGCCATGGAACAGCTGAGAAGCCAATTGTCCCATTACTTTTGGTCCCTTAACAAGTGGGAGGCACATATGCAAACTGTTGTAATTCCTACACCGTTCACCTGATTTGGATGTAAATACCCTCAAATTAAAGATGACAGTCTGCAGTTAAAGCACATCTTGTTTGTTTCATTTCAAATCCATTGTGGTGGTGTATAGAGCCAAAAATCTTAGAATTGTGTCAATGTCCCAATATTTATGGACCTGACTGTATGCAGTGCAGATTGAAGCTCAGGTTTCACAACTAATTAATACAGTAGCTGTTCACAGGTGGACATCAGGTTTACATCAGGTTCAGGACAGAATTAGCTCAGGATCTTATCCTGTTCACACATATGAGGTTTAGGAACGGTTCCCACAGAAGTCAACAGCCTGTAATCTGCACTTGATCCTGAAGGCACTGCTCAGAAACCGGACATGACTCTTTTTTTAAAAACGCACTGAATCAGCCTCGGCCGTGCTCCAGACATATGTGAACAGGAACCATATGAAGCAATGGTATTTCACATGTCATGCAGATTGGATGCGGTTCAGACCGCATCCAATCCACAGATACAATATGTGAACCGGCACTTAGAAAAAAGGTGAGCTAGTTAGGAATGAACGTTTGTAAGCATCTCTCTAAATCTCCACAAAATTGAACCATGCAGGGCTGAGTAGGAGATTTTTGTCTCCCCTGTCCTTCACCTTAACTATTTACTAATACTTGCTTTTCCTTCAATATTCCTTATAGCCTCCTCCCTGCAGCTATGTTTGAAACAGACTTGACGGTAATTCCAGATACAGTGCCTTGAAAAAGTATCCCTACTCCTTAAATTTTCCACTTATTGTCATGTTACAACCAGAAACGTAAACGTATTTTAATGGGATTTTATGTAATAGACCATATAATTGTAAAGTGGAAGGAAAATGATAAATGGTTTTCAACATTTTTTTACAAATGTTCAATTCCAGATTGCATGTTTATTTCATATGTCTATGACAGGTGTGGAGCTCTCGCCCTCAACTACTAAAGTTGCCCACATGCAGTACTGTGCTATTTTCTCTGCTCTGATAGGGACCCACCTGACTTTTCCAGTCTTTTGTGTGTGATGAGCATCTCTGACTACCCAGTTTTTTGTTCAACTGCTTGTAAATAGCTGGAATATTACAAGCATTCATCTACAGTGCCTTGAAAAACTATTCATACCCCTTGAAATTTTCCACAGTTTATCATGTTACAACCAAAAACGTAAATTTATTTTATTGGGATTTTATGTGATAGACCAACACAAAATGGTACATAATTGTGAAGTGGAAGGAAAATGATAAATGGTGTTCAAAATATTTTACAAATAAGTGAAAAGTGTGACGTGCATTTGTATTCAGCCCCCCTGAGTCAATACTTTGTAGAACCAGCGTTCACTGCAATTACAGCTGCAAGTCTTTTTGGGGAATGTCTCTATCAGCTTTGCACATCTAGAGAGTGATATTTTTGACCATTCTTCTTTGCAAAATAGCTCAAGCTCTGTCAGATTGGATGGAGAGTGTATGTGAACAGGAATTTTCAATGCCACAGATTCTCAATTGGATTTAGGTCTGGACTTTGATTGGGCCATTCTAACACATGAATATGCTTTGATCTAAACCTTTCCATTGTATCTCTGGCTGTATGTTTAGGGTCGTTGTCCTGCTGGAAGGTGAACCTCCGCCCCAGTTTCAAGTCTTTTGCAGACTCTTAACAGGTTTTCTTCTAAGATTGTCCTGTATTTGGCTCCATCCATCTTCCCATCAACTCTGACCAGCTTCCCTGTCCCTGCTGAAGAAAAGCATCCCCACAACATGATGCTGCCACCACCACCATGTTTCACAGTGGGGATTGTGTGTTCAGGGTGATGTGCAGTGTTAGTTTTCTGCCACACATAGCAATTTGCTTTTAGGCCAAAAAGTTCCATTTTAGTCTCATCTGACCAGAGCATCTTTTTCCACGTTTGTTGTGTCCTCCACATGGCTTCTTGCAAACTGCAAACGGGACTTCTTATAGCTTTCTTCTTGCCACTTTTCCATAAAGGCCGTGTTTGTGGAGTGCACGACTTATACCGGTAGTTGTCCTGTGGACAGATTCTCCCACCTGAGCTGTGGATCTCTGCAGCTCTCCTCCAGAGTTACCATGGGCCTCTTGGCTGTTTCTTTGATTAATGCAATCCTTGCCCGGCCTGTCAGTTTAGGTGGATGGCCATGTCTTCGTAGGTTTGCAGTTGTCTTTCCATTTTCAGATGCTGGATTGAATAGTGCTCTGTGACATGTCCAAAGCGTGGGATATTTTTTTATAACCTACCCCCACTTTAAACTTCTCCACAACTTTATCCCTGACATGTTTGGTGTGTTTTTGGCCTTCACAATGCTGTTTTTTCACTAATTTTCTCTAACAAGCCTCTGAGGGCTTCACAGAACAGCTGTATTTATACTGAGATTAAATTATACACAGGTGTAATTTTCTAATTAGGTGACTTATGAAAGCAATTGGTTCCACTAGATTTTAGTTAGGGATATCAGAGTAAAGGGAGCTGAATACAAATGCACGCCACAATTTTCACATATTTATTCGTAAAAAATTTTGAAAACCATTTATCATTTTCTTTCCACTTCACAATTATGTGCCATTTTGTGTTGGTCTATCACATAAATACATTTACGTTTTTGGTTGTAACATGACAAAATGTGGAAAATTTCAAGGGGTATGATTACTTTTTCAAGGCACTGTACTTTCAGCTATGGGGGAGCATGTGACTGTGTAACTCTTCATGCCTGATTGATGTCACGGGGGGCATGGAAGTGCCAACCAGAAAGACAAAGTGGTTGTAAACCCTTACATATATCCAGTGAAGTGACTAACCTCAGGTGGTACACAGAGATGAAACAAATCCTCCTACATAAATTATACCTGTTTATCTGCAGTATTCTCTTCTCTACATCCGTTCAAAGTGCTACATTTCTGAGAGTTCAGAAAACGGGGGGGGGGGTGGGCAGTGCTGAATTTACATTCTGCAGAGCTCAGTGAGGAGAGTTTTGAAAGCTGATTGGAGGGAAGGGACACACCCTCCCTCCACACAGCTCATAGAAACACAGCTGAGGCTGTCAATCTGCTGGAGGTACCTTCCCTGTCACCATTTATTCTCTTGATGTCAGGAAACCTTGTCAGAAGTGGTTCCTGCTGATAGCAGAGGAACAAGGCAGCTGACAGAAATGACACTTAGTGCTCTGGATAGAGACAAGTACACACTCTAGAGGGACGTGCTTCTTCATTTCTGAGGTTTACAACCACTTTAAAGGAGAATTATCCTTTCTTCTTTCCCTAGGGTGCAAAATAAGTGTAGTATTTTGTCCAATGTTACTAGGTGCTTCCTAACCCTATATATCAGGACTGACCTGTACCCCCCCCCCCCCCCCCCATCCTGCTGTTATTGATCCAAAAACAGGTAGGGAGAATACTTCATAACTCCAACTTGTCTTGGCTCTCAGCACTTTCCCCAGAAAAGCACTGGCAAGAAGAATAAAGTGAAATGCAAGAAGGAGGGGGGTGGGAAATGAGGGGTTGTTTGGGTGTCAGCATCAAACATGCAAAGGGGGTTTTATCAAACGTATCAATGAATCATTAAGACAGTAACATCTTCAATGAGGGAAATTTTCTGTCTGATGAGTTTGGGGTAATAGCAGACTGAGATGAGATGAGAAACATATTCCATCTAAAGGTCCCTAGTTTAGTCTTTATATTTATGTTTGGAGCATTTTAACATGGCTCTCTTTTTGCATGAATTAAATTTATGAGGTGTTCTACTGGAGCCATTTTCTGGTTACCTTTTTACATTAATACTGAGATGGCTGTCAGAAAATGAATACTGATTGTATGGTATTTGTTCTTTCTGGAACTGTAACAGCAATGACACAAACAGGCCAATGTTTTCTGTCAAGGTGCAGGAAATTGGGGGGGGCGCTTTCCTAGATGCTTCACCTAAAAGTCTAAAGTAGCTATGTTATGGTTTTGGAGGGGATGTTTAGGTCACTTATAATTTTATGTTGCAGGCATGAAGCAGACAAGCTAGGGGTACTGATCAAAACATTCTGACAAATCTTGTATCATTAGAAAATATCTGAACTGTCGTCGCTAACCTATCTTTTTTTAAAATTCTGTCAAACTTGCCTTTTGAGTCACTGATCCAGGGCCGGTATGAAGATCAGGATTCCTGACTTCTTTGCAACTTTACTTACAAACTTTTAAATTGCATTCTTGTTTTTAGATTAGTTACTTAATGTGTTGGCTAACAGCTTATCGTTCCAGCCAGGCTACGAACAGGGGAACATTTTGTTTTTCCATCTAGTCCCCTTAACCCGCTTTGAACCTTGTGAGCCTACTATAGAAGTACAAAGCAGCTCAGCAATCCCAGTTTATAAACACAGCTATGTTGAAGAGAGATCTGGTGAACCTCACTAAACCTACATGTTGCAGCAGAGGTAGAAGGCCATGTGAAAGAACCATTTCAGGCAGGAACAAGAAAAATGTAATTTAGGGCAGCAGATGTATACTGTTGGCACAGATGCCTAGATTTAGTATCAAATATGATTTTGATTCCTTAGATTGGACTAAGATAAAACAGACACACAAGGGTGGGGTACCTGGCATTTATTACTTTAATATTTTCTGTCAGGGGTCTTTATTCTAGTTTTGTAGCCTGGTTTGTACAAAATATACAATGTTATATTGACCCTATTGTGATTTGTTCTGGCCTTCACAGGTTTTCTGAATTTATAGATGGCAGAGTCAAGGATGCTTGCGTCACCAGCCTCATATTCAGCTGTGACTGTCAGTGACAAGAAGCATTACAACAAAGCCCTAAAAGAGTTACTCGGAATAATACAGAATTCTAAATGGTAAAACATTTTTTTCGTAAAAGTTGATCTGCTTATTAGAATATCGTTGCAAGAAAAAAATCTTAAAAACATTAAGGCCTCTTTCACACCTTTCTGTTCTGGTGTGTTAAAATGAGTTTTTGTTTTTTCATTTGAATAGACTGGCAATGCACCAGAATTCACAAAAATTTCTTCTTCCCTATTTTGCATACATAGTGCACTTGTGGTGTGCTGCAACGGTGGTTTGTAGGGAAGCTGTGTTGCAGTGCCATTTGTAATTAACGTGGTGCCAGATGTGAAGCCAGCCTGATGACATGAACTTTTTTCTGTGCAGTTTTCAGAATGTAGTAGAAAGTAGTTGCATTGGTAAAGCTGAACTCCAGGATGGTGACTAAATCTCTACAATAGTTCTGTATTGTTAGAACTAAACCTATTGATTTAACAGTTTCCCAAAACATTGCCGTGAATGATAACTGTCACAGTTGCTTGTCTTCTCAGTTGAACTGTCTAGCTATCAAATGGTTGGTGTCATAACTTATCACATATGCAGCACCATGGCAACTGCAGATCACACAGGCTAAGATGGCAGCTTCCCTGGCTGTAAAGGATAGCAGGATTTAGTTCCACTTTTGTTCTTTTTAAAGCGATAGTAAACACTGCTTGGACACTTGTACCTACAGGTAAGCTTGTAATAAAGCTTACCTGTAGGTACAAGGAATATCTCTTAAATGTGCACTGAGGAGATATTCAGTGTTTCCGCAGCCGGAAATGTCACCAGTACATGCACTCTGAAGGATGACGTATGATGCATACTAGCACATTATGATATTACCTTGCAGGACTTTTCCCCGAAAGTTTACTACTGCTTTAAAATGTCATGCTTTTTTTTAAAAATGCACCCTTTTAAAATCTGTGATGTCATCTCTCTATATGGAATATTCATCAAGCCCTGGGCTCCAGAAGGCGGTATCTCAGAACTGGTGATGTCACATCCTATTAGTGTTCATTGTGGCTCACTAAGACTACAAAGGCCATCATGCCTTGGGAATTTGTGTCTCAATGGGAGGCCATGTTGGCAGGACTGTGAACATATGTTTGGCAGAACAGAAGTGCGCTTCTGGCATAGGCTTCTGACTCTGTCCACTCACATTGTCTGTCTGTCAAACTACACAGTGCATTGGGTAGCTCAGACTCCTTGGTCTGCCTTCTACAGTGAGTGGTGACATCATTATGTCACCGCTTGCTTTACAAAGAACTATAGTGGGGGAAAACAAAGACTGGTGGCCGGGGGATAGGAAATTGAAGTGGACTGATGGCTTTTCTGTGCACTAGGAAGACCGGGTTTCTCACAGCCTATTCTTTAAAGGCATGAAAGCACCTGTATACACGTTTAATGAAATTCCTGCCCGGAGTTCAGCTTTAATTATATGTTAACAGTGTTGTATTTATGGAAAGCTGTTTTTGCTTGTTTTCTTGTGATGTACATGGAGATTATATTAAATATATTATGAGTTTTCCCATGGAGTTTTTATGTGGAAATATCTATTAATTTTGCTTTTTATTTTTCTTGGGGCTTGTTTACACTTGTGACTGGGATCAGCAAAACCCTGCGGTTGAGCTGTGTTTTTACCATCTCTCAACCACTCCCACTTTTGCTGCTGAAGCAGCGAGCAAACTTGTACACACCTCGCAGCCAAAGAAGGAATTACATCCCCTGTTGCACTTGGCAGGCAGTACCAACTGCACAGCAACCACGCACAATTTTGCAGTTGTGACATGGTTGCCCTGTATTTACAGGGTTAAAACTAGTGATTAGGAGGTGATACAGTGCCTCCTCACCGCCTGTCTATTGCTCTCTGAAGAACGATCTGAACACAGATAGCTCTTCAAACAGCAGAACAGGTGTAAACAAGGCCTTATTGTCTTTTCTATCCACAGAAAGTCTATGTATAGAATCTGTTCCTATGACTAGATATAGTCTGGGCTTCACTGTATAATAATTCTTTCAGCTCTGATAGGATCGATTATGAATATGAATTAAGTCAGATGGAAATAGCAGACCACAGTGATGAAGACGTTTGTCCTATCCAGGCCTATAATACTCATCTGTACACAGAGACAGGTAAATACAGTACTGGTTCACCTATTAATGTTAACATGGCTTTCTACAGCTAAACGCCTAAATCCTAACATGTTAATTGCCAAAGATATGTGAATCTCTTCAGCCAGCTGTGATTTCTAACTTTATTTAAATCTATCCAGAACTTAACAAAAATGTTTTACCTGGAGTTCTGCTTCAAATTAAAAGCTATCACTTCTTTACAGTGGTAAACCCCTGTTGTAAAAGAAATGTAGTGTATGAGTGGTGTGTACCCACCGCTCTATATTTCCCTTTAAAGTGTACTTCCCCTTTAAGTCTAGTTTATCTGTTTAATATGTAAATGTATTTGTAAAACTAGTGAAATGCCATGCAAATGATAAAGCTTTATAAATGCTTTGTAATATTCATTTTCTAATGATTGTCTTGGAGAGTCTTCATTGATGTTTGTGTTACAGATATCACGTTGCCTTCTCATCTGGTAGGCAACACTTGCACTGAGCCATCCTTGGATATAAACAGCTCTCTTGCTAATAAACTGAATTTGAGGAGACCACACAACAGTTCCTTAAAGGTCCCAAGTATTTTATCTTCTGAGGTTCGAGATATTTATGAAGAGTTGTCAGAAATCTACCAGAAATTGCAGGTAACCTATAGTTGTTTTTCATCCGTATTACTATTTCTAAAACTCACATATAGAAAATACTTCTCTTTTTCCATTTCCCTATATTTTTTTCCCTTTAAAGCGGTAGTAAACACTGCTTGGACACTTGTACCTACAGGTAAGTTTATAATAAAGCTTACCTGTAGGTATGAGGAATATCTCATAAACTTGCACTGATAAGAAGATATTCAGTGTTGCCACAGCTGCGAGTCCGTGTGCATGCGTGGGAGCGACATCATCGCGGCTTGGCCATTCAAAAAGGCCAGAGCCTGCGAGCCCGAGAGGAAGACCGGGTGAAGAAAGAAGCCCTGTCAGCAATGACAGCACGCCACTAGAGAAGTTCGTTTTAAGGTAAGTATTTCATAATGTGCTAGTTTGCAATGCCCCCTAGTAGGGGGATTATTTTTTTTTACTTTAATGCAAGTTTACTACTGCTTTAAGGACTCTGCAATTACAGAAACAAATCTATTGAAGTACACTCCACTCCTAAGTCCTGTTGTAGGCTGATAACACACAATATATATTTTTTTTTAATTGAGTGATGTCAGACCTACCCAGTTTCCTCTTGCCAAACTAATATGATTTGCCCACTCTTTCGTCTTCGTAACAAAGGCTAATCATTCTCTAGTCCTGACATAAGGACTAGGAGGGCTAATTACTCTCCTTGGGATAGTGCAGGAAGTGAGCACAGAGCACGGGCCAGCTCTGAACTTTTGACATGATCAACAGGCATTTCCCAAATTGTCTTCCAGGACAGCCCATGAAATATAGGCACCTCCTCCAACAGGAACAGGAAATGCATTACCAAATGCCCTTTAAAAGGAGGTCCCTCTGCTCAACTTGTAAGTTTTTTGTGTTTCCTCTGGACGGAGGAGATGCGTCACTTGGTACCTGGGTGGGGAGGCCTCTGTTTCTCTGGCTATCCTTTTCTTCCACCCACTACTTTACCTACCTTGCTGCACTGGGAGCAGCTAGTAGGATTTACTACAAAATTGCCCTCCAGGACCACTCCTCAGTATTGGAAGGAGGTAGCTTGGTACTCTTTCTCCTTCTGTGCTTTGGGGAAGGCCATGTCTGGAAGGGAAGAAAGGAATGGTTGTGATACAAGAAGTGCCATCATCCCTAGAAGATACAGTGTGGAAGCCCTCTTGTTGGTAAGATTTTTAAGGCACACATTAGACCAAAACGTATTCTAACAAATAATTTAAAAGAGAACCATATTTTATTTGTACAATCTTATAAAAGACATATAATGTTTTACAATGTATGCATCTTTGACATATTCATTGTAAAATCACGTCTGGTGATACCACCATACTTTGTAATTATATGTCTTTTATAAGATTGTACAAATAAAATACGGTTCTTTTTTAAGTACTGTAGTTGTGTTAGCATTTTAAAACTAATACCCTACTGCCTAGTTTTTCAAGTGGCAGTAGGTGCACAGTAGCTTTGGGGTATCAGCGTCATCTCCATGTAACAAATTTGTTGTGTATAGCTTGTTTTTACACAGTAGAGATTAGCATGGTTCTCTGAATGATAATGTGTGTCTCAAGGCACTGGGCTTTGTCACATTCATATATAGCAGTGGTTCTCAACCTGTGGGTCACGACCCCTTTGGGGGTCAAACGACCCTTTCACAGGGGTCCCCTAAGACCATCAGAAAACACATATTTCCGAAGTGTAAAGAGCAGCTACTGTGTAGAAAGCAGCTGCTGTGTTGAAAGCAGCTACTCTGTTAAAAGCAGCTACTGTGTTGAAAGCAGCAGTATTGGAGGTAAAACGACACTCATGAATTATAATTACTGGGTAAATAATTTTATGGTTGGGGATCACCACAACATGAGGAACTGTATTAAAGGGTCACGGCATTAGGAAGGTTGAGAACCACTGATATATAGGGATTTAGGTAGTGGTAAGTCATTAGATGTATGCTTTTTTAGCAGATCCTTATGTGATTATATCCACAATTGTTCAGATCTAGTCATTCCATGTAGGATCTGTTGGGGTTAGTCTTTTTCCTTTGCTGTCAAGTCTTCACCTACAGTGTTCAATTATCCTGTTCCTTTGGCCACATAGGCTTTTAGGGGCATTCATCTGTCCTTAGTTGACCAGGGCTTCACTAGAGCTGTTTTTTTTATTATGATTATTGATTTATTTATTTTTATAATCAGTCTTGTGTAACTTTGAGCTCTTACTTCCTGATATGGCTTACAGTTTTCCCTGCAACCAGGTCTCCTTCCTTCATTTTCTCTCTACTGAGACTTTTAATATAACTGGGATCGCCATATAGATATATATTTATGCTAATCCTGAGGGTACAGTATTAAAGGGCTTTGGGTTTCTAGTGACCCTTCCTAATCTAGTAAGTTCTTGCTAATCTCATGGGCTGTCCTGGAGGATGATTTGGGAAAACTGGAGTTAGAATTGCCGGTAACTCTTATTTCCAGGAGTCTTCCAGGACAGCCGGATTCCCGCCCTTGTGTTATATTGTTTTTCTGTTTGTATATGTTTTATTCAGGTTTTGTTCATCGGTTCTTGTTTAAAACTGACCAGTAGAGGGACCTCCTTTTAAAGGGCATTTGGTGATGTGTTTCCTGTTCCTGTTAGAGGAGGTGCCTATATCTCATGGACTGTCCTGGAAGACTACTGGAAAACGGACAATTGTATCTTATTTACCATAATTTTCCTTTCCTGACGCCAATCCACGGCAGCATACATGTGATATAGCTCCGCCCCTATATCCACCCACAGGACCTGTGTATATCTATAAAAGTCTAACTGAGAGCAACCTCCCCCATTCTCTGTACAGTCCAGATCAAACAAGGGAGGGTTCGTATGCTGCCATGGTTTGGCGTCCGGAAAGGAAAATTATGGTAAGTATGATACAATTTTACGTTTTCCTGACGCCAACATGGCAGCATATATGTGATAAATGACTAGCTAAACAGGGAGGGCTAAACTGTATAATCAAACTGCATTACAATGGACATGGAAGCCTAGACTACCATTCTGTTGAAGTCCATTGACGTATAAGCCCCTGGATCTTCCCTGTAGTGCCTGAGGCAGGCGCACTATGGTAACTAGCCTGCTGCTTTGCAAACGTCTTCATAGGCACTTTGCATGTGCTGCCCCGAATGTAGAGATGGACATGGCTGTATAAACCTCTACCATTTCTGGAGGCTCTTGCCTGGCTGCACTATGTTTCCAGGATGACCTTGACACTCCAAGATGACAAGGTTTGCTGCAGCTTCTTCTGATGGAAACATAAACAGCCTCCCAGAGGAATTAAACTAGGAAGCAGCTTGAAGGTAGGCATCGTAGATACCTGGTACATCCAGCTTGTGTAGGTTAGGTACCATCTATGCCAGAAAGGATGGAATCACCAATTTGTAAGATGAAAACTGAAGCCACCTGGGTAAAAAGGTGCTCGATGGCATAGGCCACAGCTTGCTCGGAAGAAAGCCGATTTATTACTCTGTAGCTTGAAGTGCTTGCAGGTCCAAAACTCTGCCCCCTGAAGTTATCGAGGGACACTGCTTCTCGAGTGATGTCCTACTGAAGACTCCTTTTTATTGGTGCAAACCGAGTCCTGGCAAGGAAATCCAGTGCCAGAATAAAATCCCACAGGGGAAATGTTTTCCTCCTCAGGGCAAAGTCTCAGGACCAACCTCCTGAAATGCTCCCCTGGCAGCTCACATGCTCATATTCCCTGATGAAGCTGAAATGGCTGAAATTTGAGCCCTTACAGAACTAGGCTGAGCCCCAAATCCAGATGTGTGAGGAAATTATAGCAACTGGGCGACCACCGGGTTGCTAGGATCAAAATCCTGCTCATCTGCAAAGACTGAACCTGTTCCAGACTTCGGAGTAAATGGCATTTGTTGGCATCCTTCCTGAAACCCTGCAGGATTTACCACTGAAAGAGGATGGCCCTTATCCTTCAATCCTTCCCTCTCAATTTCCAATCCATCCTGGGCCAGGTGTTGTTGAAGTGCTTGGTCCAGACTCCAGTTCTATGGCTAGGGTGAAACCCAGACCTGCAGGCCAATCGGGCATGCATGTTATCACAGTGAGACTCTTGGACAACAGTTTCCCCCTGGAACTTCATGACCAAAGGTAGTAGAGGAAAGCCATTTGCTTGGCAACTATTCCTTGGCTGAGTGAGCGTCCACTTCCTCTACCAATGGCCTATTCTGAGAAGAAGCAGAAAAGTACTCACTCAAGCATTGAACTGGGCTTCCGTATTGATGACTAGATGGGTCTGTTCCCACTGATTTGACACCTCCAATCCAGCCAAAACTTCTCAGGCTAGCCGGATGAATACTCTTTTGAACTAGTAGGTGATCTGGGCTCTGGGCTAACAGTAGAATACCATTCAAGTAATGATGGATGCATTTTGTTTCCTCAGAGGGGCTACACAGAGATTAGGACCTTCGTAAAGGTCATCTGGGAGGTGGAGAGCCATGAAAGAAGGTATGCAAACTGGAATTGTCAATCCCCCACAGTTTCTTTAACCGCTTACAGGCCGCCGTATAGAAGATATACTGCTACATGTTGGTACAGGTATACGTGATTACATGTGATTTTGCATTTCCTACTCCACCGCCATTCGCGGATGTCAATCACCGGGTCCTGGCCAGTAATTACCCGCTGGCGCCTGGTGATTACCGACACCGACGGGGAGAAAGACTGTTTGTTTTTTGTTTACAAACAGTCTTCCTCCCTGTCAGCTCGGGCACACTGCTCGGGATGGCTGTGCGCCGCACATCCATCCCGATCAGTGTGCCTACAGTGAAGCACACACCCCCTGACCCCTAGTAAAACACTCCCTACACACAGTTAACCCTTTGATTGCCCCTCACGTTAGCCCCTTCCTGCCCAGAGTCGGTACTGTCATTAGTACAGTGTCAGTGCTGTTTTTTAGCACTGATCACTGTATTGGTGTCACTTGGGATGTCAGTGACACCAAGTTAGTCCCC